AAATACACTTTAAAAAATCTGTTGTTTTGTAGAAAATTTAAACTCAGTCCAGTGTGGCTACTATTTTAAATAATGCTTTTAATTTACCTTGTTTAAATTAGGTAAAAAGGTATTATAAAAAACTGACATTTAAATAGAAAAAAACTTAGTTAAAGGTTAGCTATAAAATATATAAAAAATTTCGATTAAAAATACAGGCAAAAAAATAGTTAAAGACAGTCCTAGAATTACAAAACGTCGTAGTGAAAATTTTGGTGTAGCAAGTTAAAGAGAAATTTGTTCATAACAAAAATTTCCGTTAACTACTTTTTACATCTTTTATATTAACAACTGGTTGAATTCCTAGTATTTTTAAGAACATGTGTTTATTCTCGAAAGTACCACTATCGTTTTCTGTACCTGTCTCGGGCTAAAAGTTTTATGAGCTTGGGAATGAAGAGTGGTTTTTTCTGTTATATGTCCAGTCAAGATTTAGATATTCATGAACACTTAACAGCAAAATAATATTTTTCTAATATTTTTTTATTCTTTTGAACTCACTTACTTAACATAAAAAAACGGGGTAAAATTTCCAACAAATGGTTCTTCAAAACCGGATAAATAATTGAAATTATGTGTCAATTATAAACATTTATTATAAAAACGAGAAATTCAGTGTCTCCATAAGTGCATATATTATTTTCGTGTACATAATTCAGTTTCAAGAGTGATGGAATTGTCGCTAAATGCTATCAAAAGTTCGCTGGACTCGTATTCGACTATGGTTATGCCTTCTAGAAAAACAAAATAGTTCTCTACCCAGTCTATAAAAAAGTGAATTTGCTCCGTTTACTGTTCTGGCGAATTCTGATGTACTTCAAGCTGATTAGAATTATTTTAAATTTGGATAAATACTAATACTTATTATTTGCCCACTTTCATAAATCAGTTCAAAGTTATAAATTTACTATTTTAGCGATTTCGGTTTTTCTTCAGTTTCGCTATTGATTTGTCAACTTTTTTCATTCACAATGTCTGAAACCGAAAGTATTGAGATCACCAAATTTTCTGCTGAAGTGAGCGAGGAAACGAGTTCACTCACAACTTATTTAGTCAGTTACAAACCTGAATGGATGGAGCTGAGCATATTCTTGCTCATTTCAAAGAAAATCGGGCTCAAATTGAGGTATTAATGGATGATGTAATAGATGCACAACTAGATGTCAAGTTTACCTTTCAAGACACATTCTATTTAAAAATTTCCAAAGCGAAGGTGCTCTTGAAAGGTACAAACGTTCAGTATATTTCATCTAAAAATAATAAGTTTATACATTTCCAGCAATAAATTTACCAAATTCAATGGAATCTTTGAAAATTTGAGAGATTTTCATGATTCATTTGATTCAATGATCTTACAGAACAACAATCTAAGTTTCATTCAAATGTTTTATTATCTCAATGCGTGCCCTTCAGGTCATGCTGAAGGGGTTATCAATTCAAGTTTCTATAGCTCATTTTACAGTAGCTTGGCAGATTATTTATGATAGATTTGCTAACGATCAGCTATTAGTTTATAATCACATAAAGATAATTTTTAATTTAAAACTAATAGCAAGTAACATTAGTTAGTTGACATTCTAACCAGTAACCTTAGGTCCCTCGAATTCTAAGGAGGGCCAATAAAGCACTGGAATTCAATTTTAATATTCAATGTTATTAAGAGGCTACATTCTGACACAGTAAAGGATTGTGATGAAGACATTCGCTATTAAAAATCAATTCTCAAATGACCTCATAACGTTTCTGCAATACAGAGGAGATATTTTAAACAAGTTAGAAATCAGGTAGGTCAAAATCTCGGTCCATAAAGAAGTACCTTCATCAAATTTTATTCCAGCTGATCTTAAGCAGCTAATGAATCTTGACGTGACTCCTTTGTATTTAGTAAGGGTCCCCACAAAGTATCTTTTTGCGAGGATTTTGAAAATCTTAATATTCAATTAAGAATTATTGATAAAGTGAAAAATATGCATATATGTTTCAACTATTTATACAGTTAAACAATACGCCATCTAATTTGCGCAATCAAGTAAATGTACTGTCGAGTAACACCGTTATTGTTCAAATTCAAAATATTTCTGGAGTTGCAAACACTTGTCGAGCCATCTTAGTCCCACTTTATTACTTATAATCTCGCTTCGAAGTTAGACCTTGTCAAGGAACGCATTAATTTTTTCGTGATAGGAATTGCTCATATAACTTCAAGCATCCAATATAAATGCACTTTATCAATAAATTCATTGCAGTTTTCTGCAGCAACAATTAACTCTTTGGTTACTTCTTCTTTTGATGACCAGGTTCACGAATTGACGTTTCTTCTTTGGCATTCCTTCAAACATTCGTTTATCTGATCTAAATTTCCATATTTCAACCAGCAATGTTCCTCAAAAAAAACAAGACTTGGCTGGATTATCTCGGACACCTTGTGTAAATTAGCTTCCCAGAATCTAATTTGGCATCTTTCTCAAAATGTCACTCCTGATCTCTGAAGGTTTTGTGAACTAGAAAAATGTCTCATCAATCAGGCTCTCTCCAAGGAGAAGTTAGATTGTGAAAATCATTTCATATCGATATTTCGTAAAAATTTTAACGGTAGGTTTATCGTATAAATCCCTTTCAAATGTTAAGGGAATTCCAATCAAAAGCTGAAAAAAGATTTTATAGTCTTAGCGAAAATTTCAAAATAATTATGAAAAAATCATAAATACTTCGTTCATTAACGAGTACCTGTCAATGAGTTACATGTCAAAGGTTGAGTCATCTAATTCTCCAATCTATTATTTACCCGATAATGTATTATGAGGATTCTCTAAATTCAATGATCTTTATTATCACATTTTTGGCATACCACATCTGCTTTTTAAAACAAATTATTGCCAAATTCAATCAAGTACATACTTACCTGTTTTGGAAATCAGTTCATAGGAGATGTCAATTAGCAGTGATTCCATTATGAATAACTTTACGCATTCTGAGATGCCTGACATGCACTTCATTTATGGATTAGCAAATGAAAATGCGGCAAAAGTACGGATTAATTACTAGGACAGATATCCTAAGAGAGTAATTCCATATTCTAAAACAGTTAGCTACATGCAAAATTAAGTGAATCTGGGAGTTTTAATAAAAATATAGGAGGTGGAATACCAGAAACTGTAACAAATCCTGAACTAGAAGAAGCTATACTTCATGCGATAGAAGAAAATCCTTCAGGAAGATCGCACTGCAGCTTGAAATCAGCCGAAAAATCGGTTGGAAAGTTCTAAAAAAAAATCCTGTACTGATATCACATACAGCGAGTCCAAGCTCTACTGCCTTGGTATTTTCACTCAAGAATAATGTTTTGCGAGTGGTTATTTCATAATTTTTTATTAAAGATTTTATTTTCAGACGAGAAAAATTTTTCACGAGATGCTATTATGAATTTTCACAATGACCATTTTTGGGCCGACGAAAATCCCCACGTTATTAGAGAAAGTCATTTTGATCAACAATTTTCACTGAACGTTTGGGAAGAAATTAATGATGACTACCTAATTGGCCCATTTTTTATCAACAAGATTAACAGGTGAATCCTACACGGACTTTTTGCGAGAATATTATTTACTCATTTTGTTAGAAAATGTATGAGCCAACATGTGGTTTATGCAAAATGGGCTAGAGCTCGTTTTAGTGTTCTTGCTTGTCAGCATCTCGACATCACCTATACCTCAAAATTGACCAGCTTGTAGTTCTGATATGAATCCTACGGGGTCATTTGAAGGCTCACTAGATGTAAATGACTTGAGGAATCGGATAATTGATAATTGCAATACACTAAGTAATTTTGAACGTGTCAGACAAGCAATGACAAATCGATTGCATTCATGAGGTGGCCATTTTGCTCATTTACTTTAAGGTCGAAATTGTTTATTTTTTTATTTTTGGTTTCATTTTGTTTTCCATGGATCGGTTTTAAATGACTATTTGTTTTTCTCTAAAACGAAGCTATATATGCAGAAAACACAGGAGACCAAAAAGTTGTATTTTAGTTGCTTAATCTGAAAAAATATAAAAACTACAAAAAGTCAGTGTCGTACGTTTTTTTCTTAATAATATAGACTGTGGTGCCTACTGATACACAACTGGACCCAATAATTTCTTTCTAGTTAGGGTTAAATAAGCACATTATTACTTCAAATAACTGTACCAAATTTAAACCAAGCCGGTTTAAGGATATTTTTAACTTTAACACATCTCAGAAACGAAGCAACTAAGGACATATGTTCATTTCCATGAAAATTAATTTATGTCGTTTTATGAAAAAAGTTCTTACTTTCTTTATAAAACGACATATAAGGAATCAACCTCGTACCATATTTATGGACAGATTCAACTATTGTTTTGGACTGAATTAAAACGTCGTCACATCTTCTCAAAAAGTCAAATCCCAAACACCACACTAGACTTAATAAAGGAAAATGACCTTCATCGGATTTTGTCGAATATCTCCGAAACTAGCCGGAAACTTTTATGTGAGGTTGGCTTTTTTAACCAGGTACTTTGTCCAGTAGATGATCCCCTTTTTTGGGCCATTAAATAACCTGTCAAAATATGAAACTTTTTCTCACTTTAACCTGCAGTTTACGAGATTTCTGTACACACAAATTAAATTCAGTCCGCCCTGTATACATTATTTGTAAAGGTTATAAATATAAAAAAAATTTAAGACAAGTTTTTGACAAAAAGGAAGTTTTCTTAAATGTTCTCGGTAACCAATATCGATTTGCCTATTTGCTTTGCATAATAACTATCATTATCATTATTATTTATTTTACGACTAATTAATATTCGTTTGATTCCTGCATTGTACCAAACTAAGTGCCGTAGGAATTACCGAATTACCGCTATTCGTTATAACAATAAAAGTTTCTAGGAACAGTAAATAATGATTAAAATTACTCTCGGGGCTTTTCACTCACCAAAATATCCCGGATGGCATCCTCGAGTACGTGTCTAGGATATGGATTTTGAACGCTCTGCGAAACTTGTTCCTGCGACTGATGGTTTTTTTGTTCCGTCTTGGGAGTTTCTTCTTTCTTGCAGTGATTCTGCGACCTGTTTCTCCTACCGTCTACATCGTCGACTACGATACTGGAACAAAATAAGACGCCATCAAGTACTGTAGTAGTAAATGTATAAGGATTTCCATTATACAGGGTTCGGGAAACATCTGTGGTTATTTTATAACTACTATTATGCAAAACTTTTATTTGGAGGTATTTGTCAGTAGGGGTCAAAACTAAATATTCAGAAATTATTGTTAACAATAAATTAATTGCTTTAAATTACAAATTAAGAAATTCGAGACCTACGATGATAAACTGTATATACTTTTTTCTTTCGAATCACATTACTTTACATGTGCGAGTTTTATGTAGAACCCACTTCGGGTTTATTACAATTCCAGTCCCTCATAACATCAATGTTTTATGAATATATTAAGAACGTTCTTTTTATGTTCTTTTTGGTATGTCCTTTCTAGAATGTTCTTAGAACATACCTAGTATATACTTTAAAAGTATATTCTAAAAAGTATATACGGAATACGTGCCTTAAAAGTATATCTTAAAAAGTATATAATGAGCACGTGCTATAACAGGACATTTTTAGAAAATACTAAAAGTCATATACTCAGCATATACCTCATATTATGAGAACGTTTTAATGCATGCATGTAAAAATTAACACCAAATACGTGTAAAAACATATTTATATACATATCTATATGAATTTTCCTAGATGCTGATCTGATAATTCGCTAGCAAACACACTAATACTAAGCCAAAATACATCACAACCTTAATAGAAGAGAAGAATGAAAATTTTTTTGATTACGTTTGAGGTTGACACGGTTGACATTGTATCGATTTATTAAATAAATCAATTGCATCATGTGTTCTATATAGAAATAAACAAATTTTACTACATTTTTATTTTATAGGACCTACTAGTGAGGTTGGAACACAGTATGTCCCAAATATTAATTGTCAGTGTGGATTTATTTAATCTGGTTACAGGCCGTCAGATAGTGACTCGTTTAGGTGTCCCATTTTCGCAAATAAGCCTCGAAGAAGGTTGAAAATTACATCGATTTTAAGAAGAATAAACGTAAATTTACGAGTGGCTCCTGGAGATGACACATGGAAAATTCGATTTTCCCCAACAAAAAAGAAAGGTTATTTGCTGTCCATATTTCCACGCAAGCCGTTTTCACTATATGATTAATTAATTGAACACGGCTTCGGAAAACCAACGGCTTTAATATTATAAGTGGCTAAAGGGTTGAAATAAGGTAAATAAGGAAAAATCGAGATTTTATCAAATTTTCCACACAAGCTTATCGAATGCATGAAAACGTATATCGTCACTAATCCGAAAAATATATTTTCTTGAATGACCTGAATGTATAAGTGCATTTTGGGATCGGAAAATGTTTCTGATAAGGAAAATCGAATTTTCCATGTGTTATCCCCAAGAGCCAATCGTAAATTTGCTTTTATTATACTTAACATCGATGTACTTTTTAACCCTCTTCGAGGCTTGTATGCGAAAATGGGACACCTAAATCGGTCAATATCTGATGGTCTATTAATACTAATGGCGAATTTAAACTAAAATACAGTGTTACCAAAATTACATATACACTTTCTATAAAAAGAATCCTCTAAAGCCAGAAATTGACCCGGAAGAACTAGAAAATTAGCTAAAGGAGGTAAGTAATTAACAAAATATAATAATATTAAACTGTCATCAAACATAAAAACCATTAATGCAATTCTTGTTTTTGTTAGTGGAATGCCATGTACAATTTTTAATGTTTTACGTTCGACCATAGTAGTTTGTGCAACAAGATTGAATATGATGGTCATATCGCACGAAGATAAAGTTTGGGCACGACGCCGTAGGCGAAGTGATCAATCGTCTGAGTACGATATGGACAATCCACTCGAGTTGTACAGTATATTTTTTTTACTTCCCACTAACGAAAATCTACAAACTAAAAAAATATTTTATGTTATTAACACAAAATTTAATGAATTTTACTTATTTTTTTAATAAAATAAATATGAAACAAAATCAGCAGCCAGCCGAGAATCGATCCCCGGCTTTTCGCGTGGAACACAAGCACTCTGTCCACGTGCCTACGGCCACTTTTACGATATTGGTTTTAATACTCGTCATTAAAATAGTTTCATAGGTTGATTAAAATTAATTTTTTTTGTTAAATGTGGTCCAAATAAAAATTACGATTACTTATCGATTCTACACAAAAATAACTCATTTTAATGTAGATTTAATCTCATAACTAAAAAATATACTGACAATTAGTATGACAGGATTGTCACTTATTTAAAATTTTAAAAATAATAGTAGTTGGGTATCCAAAATATTAACTGTGATTGATGGATTTATTTTTTTGCAGTGTTCTCACTACCTAGAATGGATATGAAATATATTCGTTCAGATGAACGCAATGACATACTTTTTCGTTTTGTAGTCTATGTGTACACCGTGTGGGTGTAGAAAAAATATTTAAAATATTCCATTATTCCAAAATATTTTGTACATTTAATTTGCATGAATATGTACCAAGTTTGTTGATTTTTTTTATTTTGTAAGTTCAATTAAGATCCAATGTAAGCAAGCAAATAAAGTTTAAGCCATCGCTACAATAAAATATTGGTTGTTAAAAGCCAAAAAAAGAATTTGTAATAAAAATAAGAATAAGTATGAATTTTTGGATATAAATATTTAAAAAATATTCACGCTTTTCATTATACCTACACACTTATTCTTTAATGTTCAATATTAGGGTGTCTAGCATATGCCTAGTATATGTATGATACATTTAAATACTTAGCATATATAAAGAATGTGATTATAACGTACTATCAAGTGGAAGTAGATACTTATTGTATACTGTACACATACTTGAAGTACATTCTCAGTTTACTGCATAGCACGTAAAAACGTCTTGTAACATAGACTTACTATATTCTGAGCATGTACTAAATGCAAATAAAGTATATTCTCAGCATATACATCTTCTTAAAAAGTATATACTAAGAATATGCTAAGAATGTATAATTGTTATCTGGGATGTGGATTAAATAGACACAGCGAGAGTATAGGACCCAGTGCGAGTCCCAGATTTAGTTTGGACATGCTAAATCACTAAGGCAAAGAAGATACTGGTTTTTTGATAGCGTTGGCAAACGTCTATAAAAATTTATAAAAATGCTAAGAATATGATGTCATATTGTTTAGGAAATATTGGGAGATATTGCTACATTCATTTCTTTACATCCAACCATTTGTGAATTATAATTATTATGTACATTTTGTGGCTCAATTTTGAGTTTAAATCAAAAAGACCATCTTAATGAAACCGAAGAATCATTGTTAAATGAAAATATACTTAAAATTTTAGACAATAGACATAATATGGAAGAACTGGTGAAGTTATTCAAAGAAATTTACTTGCCTTATGGCTAGACATCTTGAATTCGGGACCTGATGTAGTTACCAACCTCAGCTTGTTTTTATATATCCTTAAATTGTTCTTTGAAAGCGCCACCCAAAGTCAACCCAGGGACTAAGGCAGAAGATACCAATGCAGCTCTTAAAAGAGATGACAAGTTAAATTCTTCACAGACCTAGTCTAGTCTGTGCTTACTTAATTCTCGGTTGAAAGGAAGATGTTAAAGGGACGCTGACAATTGTGGGCGATGTTGCTCGTCTCCTATGCGATAATTATTGGCAACACTTTGAAACTAGAAGAAATCTTTTCACATTATAATATAAAAGTGAAGTAATATGGGAGGCTAAGTTAGATGATTATTTGGGAACAACGTAGAAGGCCGAAGCAAATCAGCTAAAGCTGGAAGCATGCAGGTGAAGATTTGAATCAGATACCTAACAATGTTACCACGTAAGACTTTAAACTATAAAAGTCCCCCCCCCCCCCCGCCCAGTGGGACATCAACAGAAACCTTGAAAAATATCACAGCAACATCAATATCAACCCAAACAGATCCATTCACGCAACAGAGCTCAACTTCTTAAGTGAAAACAAGTGTACTAGCGGGGAATCTAAGTAAACACTACAATTTCTAGGGAGATATCTAAGACGATCCGTTTATAAACTCATAGATTAAAGGTTAAATTTTATCTCTATACAAAATATGATACCTACTGAACTTTCTACTAATCCTTCTGAACTTGTCAGATTTTTAATTTAGCATCAGCTGATCTTACTTGAGATCAAGACCATCCACTCTTGTAAGCCGGGTGAACAATTTATATCCAATATTCTTTAATAAAAAAATGGAAAATTTCATTTAGTTCATTGAAATAGAACAGTTTAAGATAGACAACAGGAGTACCTACATTAACAACATTAAATAACAAATGTTGTTTTGTGGCAACTCTAGATATTAAAAAATCTTACTTTATAATTAATATTAATATCAAGATCTTAAGCAGAATGTATTTAAGATTCTTTTTTAATAATAGTTTATATGAATTTTAAAGTTTTCCCATTTGGATAATGCATTGCTCCCTGAAACATTACTTCTTGTGACTATCTACTATAAGGTTCATGGAAACATTTAGAAATTATTTTCTTATTTAGTTAATGCCAAAAATACAATATTTGTGTTCATAATTAAAACGTCGATGAAAAAAATCACGTTTAACCTTTCTTCTACCCTTTTTAATTAGCGCCAGTACGAAAGAATTTTCTGTCTCGACATTTATATCAAATTCCACGTCGCAAATATCTGCTCTGGAATCCAAACGATTATTTATAAACACGCACTTCAGTTAATGAAGTGAGTTACTTACTTAGTGGTTAAAATAAACCAAATATAAACAAAGACAGTGTCGGTGTTCGGTCTTGCGGCCATTGGTTTCGTTGAATGGTCGCATAATTCGCATATTTCGAATTCTTATGTGACTGATGGCTACACCACACAAGCACTTTCGATGTGTTTATTATTATTTGAGATTTGACAGTAGTTGGCAATTGGCATGGCGAATGACGATATTGTTTATAAGATGAATCCATCCACTAAAGACGGATACAATGA